AAGAAGAAGAAACCCTAAAGGCTGAAATCATAAGCAAATTCACTTGGGAATATATCCGTTAAGGAAAACTCAAGTATGCTGAAGATTGCATATCCTTTTGTGGGCTTGCTCCCGCTTTGTCAGACGCAGCCTAAGTCACGAAGGTTACGAGATCTATTTTAGTATCCTAATTGAGCATGAAGAAGATGGTGTGGTGATGTAAAACAATTTTCAAACGTAATTGCAATTTTAAGCATAAGTTATAATTTTATCTTAAAACAAAATGCAATTTCATGCTTAAAACTTAGCATCATTTAAACCTTTCATGCAGAGCTGGAGCTTAAGAAAGACAATAGCAGGTAATTTAAAATCCTATTATTTTCATGTTTTCTTTTCATTCTGTCTGTCTGAAGATGTCTGATTATCTGAAACTAGATAGCTCCTTTGTTTAATTGATTTAAGCGAGGAGATAAGATTAGCAGCTCCCTTTCAAAATTTATTTTTAGGCAGTCTCTAAATGGCTGCACAAAACATTTGTAATATAGCATACACATATGTGAGAAATTGCTGTATAAATTGAGCCATTCATGTAGTGTTCAGATTTCATTTTTCTCTACTCCTTTGTTAGAACAAATTTCTCCATTGTGACAGTTTTGTAGATCTTTTCTTCACCATTCCCCTCAATATTCATGCATTTCCTCCTATCCTTTTATCAGATTCCTGCTAAGAATTGGCAGTTGGGCTACAAGTGTTGAATTATTGTTGAATTGTTAGATTCTTTCTTGTGAACTGTAGTCTATTTTTAACAGCTGTTTGGGTGTTAGATTTATTGTTGCAATTGATACTCTGAAACGGGTGGCATGTTAACCCCAGAACCTACCAGATAAGCATCCTGGAAAGATAAATGCCAATCATAAATCAAATGACAGCTTTGATTGACAGCAACAGCAACAAAAAAGGGGAGAAGGTGGTAGAAATCCAAGCACAATAATGACTAGGTCACTTGGCAGCAGTGGCTCCAACCTCTCAGTGTTCCAGCCATTTACAGTAAGAGAAGTTGCTCCAGCTAAAGCACATTTTAATTTCTGGGAGATAATAGGGGACAGATTGAGTTAGTTTAGTCATAACACAAGTTCATCACTACTAGGATGAGCCTTGTGCTTACATAGTCCCCTCTCCCCTTTACCTTATATTTTGTCTCTCTTTGTTTGCTCTTATTCACTGCTTTACTTTCAGGTTAGTGGCAAACCATAGGTTGGCCAGGGCAGATGTTAAGCAAACCATAGGTTGCCACCAAGGCAGAGGCGAGGGAGAGGATCAGAGTGCACAGATGTGGAAGGCAGCATGCAATCCCAGAGTATGTCTACAAAGCATCAAACCATGGTTTGGGGTTATGTGTGTCTGAAGTAATATCCCCATCCATCCAGCACATTATTCGGCACTCTGCAGCTTCTTTGACGCCTGCATCCACTGACATTTGCTTGTGATTGTATAGCACACATAGGACAGAGATGGGGAACCTGTAAGTCTCCTGATGTTGCTAGACTACAGCTTCCATCACCCCTAACCCAATGGTCACACTGACCGGATTTGATGGGAGTTGGAGTTAGATTGTGCAGAGGGTTTATAAAGTGGTAGAGGAGATATGGGATTTCTGGGGGATGGTGCACCTTCTTTCACCACTGTTCCAGTTGTCTCCACACTTCTACCTCTAAACATCATTTCCCATCAGTGACCAGAGATTTCCAAGCCTTATTCTGGCAATCCACACAATCTTACATTAAATAAATAAAAAGGTACCAGGCGTTGCTTGCTGGAAATTCTGATGATGCTCTCTGGTTGACACCTGAGAAAAGCTTGAAGGCATTTGTTTTGACGTCATCCTAGAAGAGAGGAAGAAGCACTGTTGACATGAGTTTTTATCTCTTGTTCTTTTGCTCAGCTAATTTCCCTTGCTTCTCAGTTGCTAGGGGAAATTAGCTGAGCAAGCTGGTTGGAGATAAAAGCCCATCATCCAGCCATGGCTGCTTCTCTCTCAGCCTGATGTTCTGAAAAATGCCTCCAAGCTTGCCTGCAGCCTCAGCTGTCAGGAAGTCACCTTCAGAATCGGAACCTGGCTATTTTTCACATCACTGGCCACCACTTGCACTATTCCCACCTGAGGCAGGTGTTTCACCCCGCCTCATTGGTGTGTCAGCTCTGAATGTATAGCCAGGCTCTAAAACCCAACATTCAAAACCATCATCACCATCGCACATTGAAATAATAACATGAAATGAAATATTCTTACAGTATTTGTAGATTTGGCCAAAATCATAGAACTATCCATTCCAGTTGCAGAATATGACATTTCTAAACACCATTGCTTCCTCCCATTGCAAATACTAGGCACTGGGCCCCCTGATCCAATTGGGACTGCAACAGCGCACCCCTAAAAGAACTGGAATTTGTTTAACAAAAGCCAAGCTGCACAATGCCAAATTACCTGAAAAAGTAATGTCTACATCTGAATCTAACTCTGATTTTCCGTTAGAACCTGAGTGCATATCTTGAATTTTGGGTACATTATCTGTGCTTTCACCTCTCCCACACTTCTCATGCTGCTCTGGTCTATGCTTATATCTTCTGTTCACAAGGTCAGAGTTTACATTCCATGCTGGCAGTGCCCATTCCATTAAGGATTTGTTCCCAGTATGGTACATTACCATGGAACCCATAACCGGGTTGGTAGAAAATGTATGTATGATGCCTTGTCTCTACCTTGAAATGTCCTGTGTCTGGAATTTGCACTTGACTGCATTGCCACAGATGCACCCTTAGCTGCAGTGCAGTCTCCCACTCCCAGCTACCCAAACACCACTCCCAAGCAGCAACTGCAGAGAGTAGGATTGCAGCCAAAATCAACATATTTGTTAACAAAAATATTCCATATGCATATTGAGCTGCACGTTGAAATTTTAGGCCGTCGTTGACCCTTAAAATTATATACATTTCTTTGCTGCTGTTTTTTATATATTTGTTTTGCAAGATCATCTACTTTACATTTTATAGCTTCTATAACTTATTCATACAATAATACAGCCTACAATTTTCCCCCAGACCATCGTCTTAAATGCCAGAGGATAGAAAGAGGATTTTTTAAAATCTAATATTACCAGACTTGTTTTCTTTTAATATAAAGTCCATGGGAAGTAATACATTTAAACTATGTTTAAGTAGACAAGAGTAAGGAATCAAAGGCTAAAAAAGCAATCAACATTAATTTTCTTTTGACTGTCTTTTTCTTTGTGCTTTATGTTCTTTCCATGCTATGCAATTTAGTGCTATTGCATTCTGCTTAAAATAAAAAAAGATTGCTTAGATGGTGTGTTTTTACTTCATGCGATTAAGGGTGAACTGTCTGGACATGTCTACAAAACATAACGTTTATCAACTTTAATTGATAAAATATTTTGAAGTCAGGTCTCATGTGGATAATTGGCTTGTAACTAAGGTTCGCATAGACCTCCATCAGCCGGTTACTGATTGTTTGTGGCTTCCCTCAAGCCCTGTTCACTTGGGTATAAAGGGGAGGGGTGTAGTGTAGCCTCAGCAGCTAGATGGGTCCTGCATAACAGAGTCTGTTTTTTGTCTCTGCTGTAATGGACACAAAGGAGTCACTACAGAATATGTCAGAGGAGGCATATGAGATCACTCAAAGCAGTAACTGAAATGGGGTGCTTATATTTGTGACCCCTATTGATGCTCATTTCTTCCTGTTTTAAAATGAAATTCTTACGCTGTGCTATTCATATGTGTTCTAAGGATCCACGTGATGGGTGACTTGCAGCGAACTCCACCCATGTATACAACCAAAATCCACTTCTGATGTCTCTCCCTGCGCCTCACTCAATTGCTGCATGCCCAAGGAGCCGACTTGGTAGGTTATCAGGGGCTTCAGGGAGGAAGAGAGAAAGCAGAAGCCCCACCTGCTCACACTACAACCTACTATTTTGAAATGGGTTCTCATGTTGTTCACCGTACACTGGCTGCGTTGTGTTACATGCTCCATGCAGATAGGATGGTAACTTCTTCTGCATTGCTAAAAATGGTAGAGGAACCTACATTTACAGTGGTGCCTCGCAAGACGAAATTAATTCGTTCCGCGAGTTTTTTCGTCTAGCGAATTTTTTCGTCTTGCGAAGCACGAAATCCCATAGGAATGCATTGAAATTCAATTAATGCGTTCCTATGGTCAAAAAAAGTCCAAACAAAGCCAAATTTGGTACAAGAGTTTATTAAGTGCTCTTAAAAGTCACACATACTGTAAAGAGCATTTCAAAAATTGAAGGAACAATAAATTAAGTTTCTAAACATGACAGAAAAACATTTAAAAATCAACAAAGTGTACAGTACATTTTCTAAGACTCTGGGGGACAACTCGAAGAAGGTTCCTCTTCCACTCTTTGCTTCTTGCTGAAGAACCCCCTCCTCAACTGTCCCCCAGCCACCCACCACACAGAAATTCAAATCCAGAATTTTTTTAAAAAAAACAGCAGAGTGGCCCAATGGTCACAGAAAATCATAAAAATGCAGAAAAAAAACACACAAGCTTCCAGATTCTTGCAAACCCCTCCCCAATACCAAGTCCTTGAATTCCAAACACCCCAACCCAAAATCCAAAACCCCCCCCAAAAAGTTTTAAAAGTTTAACTTACCAAATGGCTGCAAAAGAAGTTTTGGAAAAGCTTCAAAAATCACCAAAGTCTTCAAAAACCTCAAAAAGGCTACCACACCGCGTTCTATGAGTTGCTCCTCGAAGTCAAGTCGCAACTGTATTAACGGTGTTAAGAAAAAGGAAACAAACTTGCAAGACGTTTTCGTTTTTCGTCTTGTGAAGCAAGCCCATAGGGAAAATCGTCTTGCGAAGCAGCTCAAAAAATGCAAAACCCTTTCGTCTAGCGAGTTTTTCGTCTTGCGAGGCATTCGTCTTGCGGGGCACCACTGTATTATCAGGTATGAACTGAACCACATTGTCAGCCTGAATAGCTCAATTGGTTAGAGCATGGTGCTGATAATGCCAAGGTTTCAAGTTCAATCCCCATATGTGACAGCTGCATATTCCTGCATTGCAGGGGGTTGGACTAGATGGCCCTCAGGGTACCTTCCAACTTTACAATTCTTTGCTTCTATGACTCTCTGGGTCATGATCTTACTCTTCTTGCCTTTACAGAAGCTAATTGCCTATCTGCCAGTGCTTATTCAAAGTGTTGGCACATCATGGCTCCATTTCCTCTTCTTTCATTTCTTTTTGTGTCTTCTGGATACATCCCAGTTCCCTTCTTATTCTTTTACTTCAGTTCCAGTAAATTTTCCTTTGGTCCCTTGACAGCATGTGTGGCTCTTCATTGCAGTGCAGAACATCACAAGCTTGGCAGCTTGAAAGTCTTTTGAATAACTGTTGTTGTTGTTGCACATAAGAGCATTTCTAGCATAATGATGGCATTTGAAAAGGGGGCCTGTGGCCAGCTAAGTTCTACTCATTGCAGACCCATTGTTAGTCATTAAGTAAGCCATGCCCATTGATTTCAGCGAGTCTTCTTGCAGTATGTTACTTTGTGTACGGCTCAAGGTGCTTAAAGCAGCCTTGGGGTTAAGCACTCATCTCACGCAGGCAAGTGAGTGGGCTAGCAAAGGAGGGATGAGGTGGAGGGAGTGCTTCATCTCTATTCTGAACCCAACATAGAAACCATTTGGGCTGCCAAAGGAAGGACATCACTTCCTGCTTGCCCAGGAAAGAAATGTGGTGAACTTATGTTGGACGGATAGAGCCCTTCATCCTTCTTCTACAGGCTAGTAACTTTTCTACTTTATTTATTTGTGCAAATCAGTAGGTTTTGTGAGCCTATTTACATGGCTGGCTTAAAACACAAACTGTAGGCTTTTTTTTCCAGAATCTTCAGGGGATCTGAACTTTTATTTATTTTGGAAGAGGGAGAAGCTGAGGGTCTCTCTTTTTAAAAAAGCAACTCTTCTTTCCAGGATAAAACTTCTAGTAAACCACAGTGATCAGAGTATTCATATGCATGAAAGCAAACTTTGTGTTGGGATTTTCTAATGTGTGGTTGCTATTCATTCCTGATAAAAGGACCTGGACTTGTTCCCTCGTATTTTCAGACCTGGCTTTAGCCTTTGTGTCCATTCCAATTCCCTCAGGGAATAATTTTATTTTCAGGTAGAGGCAATACATTCTGGCTGCTCAGATGAGTGACTACAGAGGTTCATCACTGGAATTTGAGAAAATAAGACCAGCAGAAAGATGGATGACAACAGGGGACGGGAAAGTTGTTATCCTAGCATTTGTCATGGTCTGGAACATTGAGATAGATGGGCAAGGCTCCTTAAGGTGTGTAAGAGGTTCCTTTCTCTGGCAGTCTGTTGTCTTGTAATAAATTTATCTTCTTGGATAAGATGGGGATTGTGTGCTTTATTTAAGCTCATTTTATTAGCGTTGTTAGACTTCCACACTTCCAACCATCCCATTGTGAATGTTTTGGACATCAGAGGCGGTTTTAGGGTGCTGTGAACTGTGCAGTCATACTGGTTGACGCCTAGCAGGGGGCGCTAAAATAACACTGTAGAACAGGGGTCAGCAAACTTTTTCAGTAGGGGGACGGTTCAGTGTCCCTCAGACCTTGTGGGGAGCAGGACTATATTTTTTGGGGGGGAAATGAACAAATTATTATGCCCCACAAATAATCAGGGATGCATTTTAAATAAAAGCACACATTCTACTCATGTAAAAACACCAGGCAGGCCCCACAAATAACCCAGAGATGCATTTTAAATAAAAGGACACATTCTACTCATGTAGAATGGAGCATCCACGGGCCGGATTTAGAAGGCAATTTGACCGCATCCAGCCCCCGGGCCTTAGTTTGCCTACCCATACTGTAGAACATAGCACCTAATTTTAGCACTACAAAGGTTGCCACTGAAATTTGAGAGCCCAAAGTCTCTCTGATCTAGCCACTGATCTAGGCTCATAATCAGGCAGCATTTACACAGAAATGCTGTTTGTGAGAACCAGTTGCTTCCTTATGTGTTGAGCCTGAGTCACACAATCAGAGCTGCCCCCTTTTGGGCCACCACAGTTGTGCAAAGCACAACAGCTGTATGTGTAACCCATGACTCCCACAATGGTGCTGACATTCACAAAAAGTCCTTAGCAGCCACTACTCACTTCCATGGTGTTGCTATACAGTACATACATAAAATAACCAGTGTTCGAAAACCCCATTGTTCTAGGCACATTTTGCAACAGGGAATTTCATTAGCACAAGCAGTTTCTGAGCACTGGGCGCAGTACTGTGCCTAAGATTTCAGATTAAAACTGCAGAGTGGAAGGAACGGAAAGGAGGACCTTTTTCTGCCTCCCCACTTCCAGCTACTCTCTGAAGACTGGACTCATTCGTTTTCAGCTTTGTATTTTTCTTATAAAAATGTGCACCTAGACATTCTGTTGCTGTGCCCACAACCTAGGTTGAAGGTGCCATGTAGCTACTAGCATACGTCTCTCAGTTTCTAAATCTGAAAATGTCACAAAGTGTCAGTGGAAGAGAAAACAGATCGCATTTCTACAACCCCTAGAGCTGCTCTGCTTGCAAAGCTTGTGCTGTAGCACCAAGCTAAGTCAATGGAAAGAGAAAGGCAGATAATATCAAAGTGGAAAATTGATTGGGAGTTTTCTCTTATGATCAAGCAGTGTTTAAGTTTTTTGAAATAAATAAAATGATAGTCCATACACAAAGGAATATGTAGTAGAATATTTTGTTTATTTTAATAAGTATCTTTCTCCCAAGAAAGTAGTAGATAATGGCTGGACTAACTACTATCTCTTTAATTTCCTTGCTTAGTAAACATCTAAATCTACAGCTATGAGACAGGCAGTTTTTAATATCCCTAATTAGTATTAGGTATGATTCTTGATCCATTTCAATGACTCAGGTCAGGTAACAGCAATTTTAGCAAGGTATATATACAGGTGAAGTAAAACTTTCTCACTCTTGTAGTATGGTATGTGATTAAGTCTGTATAATAACTTTTCTTAGTTTCATGGCATTTTACTAAGTTAACTTAGTAGGCAATGATAAAGAGCCTTGACACTGGAGGCTGTAGGCTTCATGTCCCAGTAGTGCATGTGAGTCTGGAGTTTAGACTTGTGCAGGGTTGAGATACTAGACTTGCACTGCTTTGGCATCTGACAGCCTACTTTTTAAAAATAAATAAATAAATAAATGCTGCTGAGTTTAATGTGAAGCTTGTATTCATGTTAAGTATGGGTTATACCATGTCTTCAAAGGCAACCATCCTGCACAGTTGGGCTACCATTGAAGCCAGTGAAATTTAAATGGTCTAAGTGCTTGCTGGAGGGCAGCCCTTCCCCTGTTTTGCACAGGCTTTGTTGCTATGTCTTTCCTCAAACTACTGGTGTTCAAGGTAGCAGGCAAGTGGGGATTGTGCTTGTGTGCTGCTCTGAGACATCCTCCTTTGAAATATGTTGCAATTTGTGTCGTGTCAAGTAAACAAAAGCAATACTACAAGAATAAAATACAAAGAGACCAGTTCAGGCACTGCATGGTGGCTGCAATGATATAAGTTTAATTCAGGATTGCAGTACTCACTTATTTATTTATTTTTTATCATGTTGAGTTTCAGTGGAGGGACTAGTTTCTGATGATGCCTCCTCTAGTTAGGAACATTGGGATAGGCTGAATCAGACCATTGATCCATCTAGCTTATCATTGTGTGTAGACCAAAGCTGGCCAGCATGGTGGCCTCTAGACGATATTGGACTATATAACTTGCATCAGTGCTGACCATTGGCCATGCTGGCTTAGGCTGATGGGAGTATAAGTTACTGCTATTGGAAGGGCACAACTTTGTCTGCCTCTGGGCTGTACTGGCTGGCAGAAGATCTCTGAGGTTTCAGACAGGAGTCTTTGCTGACCCTGCTTGGAGTTGTTCTGGATCTGGATAAATCACTTGGTTAGAGCATGGTGCTGATAATGCCAAGCTTGCAGGTTTGATCCCCATATGGGACAGCTACATATTTCTGCTATTGCTAGAGGTTGGGCTAGATGATTTTCGGGGTCCCTTCCAACGCTACAACTCTATGATTCTGTGTCATGAACTGAGTCTGGGACTGTTTGTATACATACCCATGTTCTCTGCCTCTTGAGTTGTGGTCCTCCCTAAGATCTAGTTCCTAGACAATTTGACAATCCATTTCAGCTGCTTAACACACCCAACTGAACTCAGTACCTATCCATTCATGAAGTTATGTGTAATGAAGAGTGTACTGCTCCCTGGATTGATGACACCTAAAGTTCCCAGTACTGTTCAGCTGATTAGCATTTCTCCGATCAGTATGAGGCATACAAAGAAGGAGATAAAAGAGGATTATTATTTTATTACATTTGTATCTCACCCCTTCTCATAGGAACTCAAATTGGCATTTCCCTCCAGCTTCATAATAACCCTATCAAGTGCTGAACAGATTCTGCTATCATAACATAATCCTCTCCTCAAGATCTATTTGCCAAAGCAAATTCACCGGATTGAGTCAGTATGTTGAAACTTTCAGTAACCTGCTCTGTTTTTCCTTCTGCTTCCACATTTATGTCTCCATACTTTTTTTTTCAAGATACATGAGTGCATTGTAAAGCTGGTTGAAAGCGAAATGAAAAGTGATGTTGGTGAAACGCTCCGTATAATCATCTGATTAATTTAATCCCCTCTGTAAGCTTCAAATGAAGGTGAGCTGCAGATAAAAGGCTGCCCACAAGAGCTAGTGTTCTTCAGTATGTCTTAAATTACATATTTCGACATCACTGAAAATCTTTTCTAAGAGAGGATTTATTCTGGATTCACAAAGGCAGAGTTCTCATTACAATAGGAGCCCAGCAAGAAAGTTTTCCTCTCAGCACTAAAGTCCTTCTCATTTATGCAGCTTGAACTAGAACTAGTGTCAGTTCTACAGATATGTTTTGTTCAACAGAGAACTCCCTTTCAACTTCCACATTGATCAGCTCTGTTTGGCTAGGTGCAATAC